GCCTATTTAAATATATTTACACATGGCTTGTGTATATCGTATATATATACATATATATTATTGATACATTCGGTGTATAGGACGCAAGCAGATTTTGACATCAAATTTTGGGGTAAAAAAGTGCGTCCTATACACCGAAAAATACGGTAACTGTTAAAGCACTGAAATTAATATGTATCTATAAGTATATACTGGTTAGCATTATGAATTTTTCCAGCTTTCAAAATAACTTCTTCCACAATGAGAGACAAAACGTTGCTGTTAGTACCAGATGTTAGATAAAACTTAAGCCATACTGAATAATACATGATGTAAAGTGAGCATTAAAACCATTTTTACATTTACTGAAAGTTAAATATTTCATAAAGTGCTGGCTATTATGCATAATAGTGGATGAATTAATTTTGTGCTTATTTGTCTTTGAACATATAATTGTAAAAGCAAGATTTCATTTTGCATCGGAAAATATTTTTATCCATACCTAACTTTTGGCCTTTCTATGTTTGCTTGTGAAAAGTATAAATGTATGATATGCTAATGTTTATACAATGGTTCACTGGTAATACTCAGAAATCACCTAGAATCGAAAACTAGACAAACTATGAAACAAGAAGATAATCTAAATACGTTTTTTTAAAGGTAGATAGTTTTCCCAATGGATTTAAAAAAGTAATATCTACCTTAAGAAATATGCTAAGGTTATTGGGTTTCTTTAAAGTTTAATGGTTCTTTGAAATAACGTATACATATAAAATGTGTTTGTGCCTGCACTACAGTGGAAAAAAGTGTATTTGAAAGCAAGTAAAGTGTGTGTTTAGACCATTTAATGAGTTGGGTGAATAAATGGTAGATGGGTTTTAATTATAATAAATGCAAGATAATGCATGTTCATTATTGTAATTTGAATTATAATATAATTTGGATAGGAATAACCTTAACAGTGTTATGGAAAAAAAGGATCTTGGTGTAGTGGTTGACCAGTCTCTTAAGCCATCCAAGCAGTCTACTGTTGCTAGTAGTAGGACAAATAGGATTTTAGGTTGTACCTATAGAAATATTTAATACAAGTTTAAATAGGTTATAATTTCATTGTATAGGTCACTTGTAAGGTCCCATTTGGAGTGTTGTGTTCAGTCTTGGGCTCCTTACTTTAGGAAGGACATTGAATTGTTGGAAAGGGTTCAGAGGAGGGCTACTAGAATGATGTCTGGGATGGAGGGATATGAGGAGAGGTTAAGAATCCTGAAATTGTTTTCTCTTGAAAAAAGAAGAGTTAGAGGGTATGTAATTGAGGTGTTTAAGATTGTTAAGGGAATTGATAGTGTTGATGCACCATCTTTATTTATACTTAATGGTGAGAATGGTAGGATTAGGGGCACAAATATACATTTTAAAAGGGTATGAGTCATCTTCAGCTAGGACAGTTTTAATTTTCTAACAGGGTTGTTGGCCTTTAAAATGGGTTGCCTTTAGATATGGTAAAGGCAGTAAATTTAAGTGAGTTTAAGGGAAGGCTTGATAAATATATGAATGATAAGGGCTAGCTTTGAGGTTTTTTTAATAGTTTTAGTTTAGTTAGTGGATGGGACAGCCTGGATGGACCAATAGGTCCCTTGTTGTCCCTAAATATTATGTTAAAATTTGGCTCAAATGTAATAGCTTCAGCCATGTCTTTGTTGTCAAATTATTAAATTTGATTGTATATTTGTAATTAAATATTTATAAGACTGAAATCATCAGTAAGTTTGTTTTATATAAAAAAATAAAGTATCTGATATATATACTTTTCTACTTGAGATTGTTCTGTTAATGAATTTGCTGTTTTTAGTTGTGACATATAAAATTTTTGGTACAATAAAAAAATTGATTTATTAACCTAATAAAGCATTGTTATATTACACAGACTGGAAAATGTAAAAATGGAGCTTATCCACCAGAATCTAGGTAAGTTTTACCAGATAGTCCAATGTGGCTTTACTCTAAAACAAACATAAAGTGCTTTGTTTTCTTTGAATTAAGATAAGTGTAGCTGTTTCTATTTTTGGGAAGACTTGCTCATTAATATAAAGGAAATGTTTACATAACTTGGTAGAGGCTGTGATATTTGTGTGCTAATTCAGCTGCTTTTAATATTTAGTTTTAAAAGAATACATTCATAAAAAAAACATATCTTTCTGTCCCTTAAATCTAGGGCTTCAATTGACTTTGTGTTTTTCATGCTAGAAGGCTCTTATTCTTGTTAAACATTTGTGTATTGAATTTGATAATTCTTGTATAAATCAATACAAAAAATAACTTGTACTTTGAATAGTCTGTGATGGTAGAATCCATTTCATGTTTTTCTTTATTCTTATCTTCCAATTACAAATAGCAGACAATAAGCAAAATTGTACATAGAGTAATCGTATAATAAGTTTTAATAATGTGGAGAAGTGATAAGTATAGCTATTACTAGGGGTGTAATTCTCAAAGAAGAAAGTGCAAGTACTTGTATGTATGTGCAACAAACTTTTGGCTTATTTGTGTAATTTATAATATAGTTTACCAAAAACAAAAAAGAAGGAAAAACATACAACCATTGTTTTGGTGGTTTTAAAGAAAGAAATTTATTAAATCGGCAACTAAATTAAAAACTTCATAATGTGTAAAAATACCTTAAATGTAATTTTTCTTTTTGCTTCCCATTCTGTTGAATAGCAAAAAAACATTATATGAACTAATATCAGGGGAAAGTACAAATTACAGCACATCAGCTAATAAAACATCACTTGGATGTAATTATCTTTTATTGACCAAACATGTAACATAGAGGTAGATGAGTCTACCTGATTGGTTTAATAATGATTGACATTGATGCTGCTAAGTAACTTCTCTTCATGATCTTGTTTCTTACAAGAACTAATGTCATTAGGTCATTTATTGCTCAGTTGAAGAATATTTAATGATTATTTAGATTCTGTGAGTTGTGACATGACTTCTTTCTGACAATACCATCGAAGGCATGTAGATCAAGTATGTTCCAGTACTGAGTACTAGTTAGTACTAGCAGAATTTCACCCCTGATTGTTGCTTACTTGGTTCTTGTAATATAATTACTACTTTTTGAAGTTGTGAAACCTACTGCCAGTTCTAAACATAAAGTGAAACGTGTATTTTTTTATGTATTTTTTTAACTTTAGCCGTAAGGTTCCAAAATATGTCATCAACTTAGATCTACCGCCAGAGCAACGATGGACAAAACTCGTCACAGAAAACAAACAAGGGGTATTAAACTAAAGAGCAGTTCATCCTTTTATAACTGTCATAAGAGTAGCTCATAGAAATTAGTATTTTTTTTGTGCTATTTTGTCATGGATTAGACTAAAATATAACTTTATACATTTAAAATAAAATTATTATGAAACACTTAAAACAATATATATTAATCATAAGTTTAGTTACAAATCTGATTTTAAATTATGATTGCTATTTCAATATCACATAATAAGGATTTTTGTGATAAATCTTGTATATTCTGATAAGAAAAAAAAACTATTAAAATGTAACAGTCAAGTAACATTATTTCTACTCCAAGTTTTGTTTTTGAAGTTAAAGATATCTAACACTATCTTATAAAATATTCATCACTAAATGTTAAGAATAATAAACTGAAATAAAACTTGGCTATCTTTTTTTTGTCTCATTAAATTTCTCTAAATATGAACTATTGGATATATGTTGCCTGTAAAGTATGTACTCATCATTCATCATTGTTTTTTATAGCTGTACAACTTGCTTGCAGCTATCAGAAACTTGACCAATGTAATATTTCATGGAAAGCTATTTATCTTGATTGACAAGTACATGGTAAGAATGCTTGTACAATATATATTAGTTCCAGATACATGGGAGCACTTTGTTGATTTTATAAAGATAATTATAAATTAGATAATTAAAAATTAGTTACATTTGTTAACATACACTGTGAAAAGCAAAAAAGTCTATCATTTTTGTACTTTTTAAAATTCCATGTTGATTGTTTAATAATTCAGGAGTATAGAAAACATTTAGCATTTAGAGGGAAACTCATTCTAACTTCAAAAAAATGTTAGTAATTCTAATTTGAATAGTTCCATTTGTGTGTTTTGTAGTTACAAAAGTTGAAAGAATACACTTTTTAATGCAACCTCTTTATTTGTTGTTAGGTAAATTATTTATTTTAGAGATAATTTTCTATAAAAATATATTTTTTAAACTACAGGGTGTTTCAAAAGTCAGGTCCATTTGGGAAATTACTGTTTACTTGATTTGTTTGATGTATTATTTCTATAGGACAGATTTTTCGTACATCGTTTATGTTATCTTGCATTGTTTATTAGCTATTACCACATAGTTTATTGATGTTTTAAATTCTCCCATCCTTCTTTGAATAATGGGAACATGTTGCAACAATTTTTAGCTGATGTTATATGCATAAAATATGCAGATGTAATATAATATTATGTTTTGATTTTTTTTATGGTTGATCTGATTTTACAAATATATTCCATAAGAGCAAGAGAAAGTTGATATGACTGTGTCATAATGTTTAAGTAAAAAAATTCAGGGTATCAAATAAGAACTTGTAATTGAGTCCCTCTAGCTATTTTGTGTGTTAGATGTAATATGGGACTTATTTGTAATTGAGTCCCTCTAGCTATTTTGTGTGTTAGATGTAATATAGGACTTATTTGTAATTGAGTCCCTCTAGCTATTTTGTGTGTTAGATGTAATATTGGACTAATTTGTAATTGAGTCCCTCTAGCTATTTTGTGTGTTAGATGTAATATAGAACTAATTTGTAATTGAGTCCCTCTAGCTATTTTGTGTGTTAGATGTAATATAGGA